CTGTCTAAACAGCTGAATCGGCGATTCGGTCCCAACTGATACTGCAATGATTATTTACTCAGTAGATCCTTTGCAGGATCCAATATGCTGATCGTGCGTCATTTTTAACCCCTGCGGCGATTACAACGTTCATGTCGCAATCACATTCCCATTTAAAATGGAAAACGGGTAAATAAATAAACATGAAGAAGTTCAGGTCACCGCCCTCTCTGTAGATACAATTATCGACACTACCTAGCGCAATTATTTGAGAGACATATCCGCTGAAGCGTACAGTAAATATGCAATGCCACACGAGAACCAAAGATCTCACAATCAAGGCTGCCTGGTAAGGAGGGAATAGTGCACAACACAAACTGAAGCAGCACCTGCAATACATTTGAGCTTATTCACAAGAAGTGGATTATACCATTTCCAAATCCAAGCTCTCTTCTGACGCATCACTCATCTGGTGGCTAGAATGCCAAGCACTTCAATGCAGGTAAGGTGACAGGCCCAACGACATCACATCCTTACTTCCTGCCACAGCTTATGGAACGCTTTAGTGGCGAAACACTGTCGATGAGACAGAAGTCAAGTCGACATGCCAAACACCAGCAAAATAAATTGCTGACTACATCGAAATGAATGGTAGCGCTATTCTGCCTAGTATATGAGACAGAAGGCCGCAGCTCTATTAGTCCCGTCAACGAATGGCTACGCGAGGTGCCAATTACGGCTGGTGCGGCGAAGTGCTCAACAAACACACTTGTGAGCTGGATGGACATTGTAAATATTTGCTTCAGATATATCTGGCTATGGGCACCAATCCATGGACAGGGTGCCAGTGCCTATATCAGATAGGCATTGGAGTGACGTAGATGAAGACAAAGGAGATGCTAAAGGAAAAGAAGATGGCTAAGATAGGAAAAAGGGGAAGGGATGAAGGGCGAAAGTGTGAAAGAAGTAAGGAAGAAAATAAAGGGTTAAGACTTTAGGGTAGGAGTAGGAGCACGGGCGTGAACCAACTAGGAGGTGGATGAGGCGTCTCTGAGCAAGGCGGGATGTGTCGTGCTGGGTGAGCATCCTTGCATATTCATCAGTTACGTCTCCGCGTCTTCGTCATTATCGCCTACATTATTTTCTCTTTTGCACCTCTTATTTTGCCAGTCACTCAATCATTATTTGATTTGTAGATCTGTCAAGCCAGAAGAAGAAGCATAATCGTATGAGTTGGCCAAGGCGCAAGTAGAAGTGAAATTAGTCTGCACTTTCTCGCCACTCAATAAGTATCCCGTCGGTGGTAGCCCAAGGTTCTCAACGAATTTGTAAATCCTGCATGTTTAAGGGGAAGAGATTTCTTTAAAAAATTTCTTCTAATTGACCTCACTTCATCTCCTCCCTCACTTTTGGCGATCGCGGTAGGGAATCTAAGTCCTCCGCGGAGCACATGAGGCAATGCGACGTCTATTCTGCGGATTTGTCGTTCACCCATGAAATGAGGATTGGAGAGTTAAATATGTGAATGAAACAGTAAAGAGTGAGAAACTAGGCGTAAGCAATGGCAGTAAATTATTCATGCTAATGACTGAGGTAAATGGAACACGTTCATCGCATATGAGAAGGTTTCATTCACTTATA